GTGCAACACCTTTGATGGAGAAAAGATGGAACGCTGCTTGAGTTGTTATATATATTATATGTAGATATATAATTATATGGTGTGTGTATACATATATTTATAATATATATATATATGTCACTCAACCATCCTTGCTGCCAACACAAATTCCCCATGAACTGAAGCAGTTTCTTTTCTGCCTGGCATAGCCTGACTACTTCACCTTGCTTACTTCTTGCCAAGCCAAGAGCCAAGTCGTCGAGCCCGATTCACAATTCTATGGTGCTTCAAATCTACTCATTGAGGCACAAGAGTGGTGTGCAATGAACTGCCCGTTGGACCATGACTGTGACGAACTGCCAAGCCTTTACTCCCAAGCACATGCTTGCGTAGGAGCAAGCAGTTCATGTCAAAAAGCACGCCCGACGATTCTGGTTCAAGTTAGCCAGCCGCCTGCAATCCCACCCCCATCTGATTTGTCCAGTTTTGCTGATTTGAAATCACCTATTTTAGTTATACACTAAGATACTATATATATATGCTAGGCCCCCCCAAAAACCCACCTTGCACCACTTGATTGGGAAGTTTTCAGGAAAGTCTTGTGTTGTACCATATGGTTAACATGTTTAAACCTTGATGTAGAGATGACAGCTTTGCAGATAAGCAGAATGTTGCGCCAGAAGGTTGAAAGGTTTTTGTGGCCTTGAAGAAGAAAAAATTAAGAGAAAAACATCAGTAACCTTTAGAGAATGCTCTGAGCCATACAAAAAGGATTCTATTTGCAAAATTTGCAAATTAAGGTAGTTTAAAGTATTTGTTTCATTCCACATCCTTATTGTATAGGGATGAACTGTTCATCCCACAACGCACTATTTTACATGTCAAATCCTTATCTTGTGGAGAAAAGTTTATGGAATTTGTCATCTCACGACACACAATTTCTTTTTTCCAACACCTTAAGTCCTTAAGTTAATGCGTTTCTTCTAGTTTAAGTTTTTGGTCAGCTTACTACACAAGATGTAAATCCTTATTTGTTTAAACACAATGAAGTATTTGGTCCTCTTACAACAAAGGATTTCTCATTCCAAATCCAATTTAAAAGTCTAAGGACTTGGCCATCATCGCAGCATTTTTTCCATATCATTCAATTCCTTAAGCTATTGTTTCTAGGATTTGGTCAAGGTCAGCTTACTACACAAGATTACTCCTTCCAAAAATAGTATTAGTTAAACTGTTTTAGACGATGATTTGGTCAGCTCACAACTCACATCACGTTTTAAAGTTATGATTTATGAAGTTATGAATTTTGTCAGCTCACAACTTCACAACTTGACAATATGCACAAGTTTCAATTCCTTCTTTGTAATGTAATTTAAGGATTTGGTAAGCTCACAACACTACAGCTCACAACGCCAAAACTTTTCATTTCAATTTCAACCTCCTTATGTCTTATGTGCTACTGTTTGCAATTAAATATTAGGTCAGCTCAGCTCACACCACACATAACATCGGTCAATACAAATCTATGGCTTTCTAATTTCAGGACTTAGTCAACTCACAACTGACTCACAACACATGGGATTTGGCCAGCTCACTAAGATATATTTGTTCTTTTGATTTAAGGTTTTGTTCCGTTCACAATTCACAATACACAGAATGTTGCTCATTCTACTGCATTTTGTTGCCGATGTTTTTGGTCAGGTCACCTCATTCCTACTCCATCTCCAACTAGTTCTTAATCTATTGTTGATCCAATTTTTGTGTCCAAGGACTCTCAACCCGTATGCTTATTTTGAATGTTCCCACTTCCCACCCATTTGTGTGCAAAAGAATGAAACAGAACAACAACCTTCGAGAAAATCAGTTAGAGGAAATCAGTCAGGCACTTCAAACAGTCCGACAGTCCAATCAAGTCATTCCAGTCAGTCAGTCAGTCAGTCAGTAACATCACATCAAACAGTACTTCACTCTTTCTGTGAGACATTCAGCCCAACACCGTGGCCACAGGTCAGAGTCGTTGTTGTCCTTTTTCACTCACGTCCCCGTCTGTGTCCCGTAGAAGTTCATCTACTGTACACCCTCTTGTTAGGTAAGCTCTCTATGATTTGTTTCAACAAGTCCACAACTCTGTGTTGGAAAAAAAGGCTGCGGTGATAGTAGTAAGTCGAACTTAGAGCCAAACCCAAAACAACATCAAAACCAAAAAACAAAAAAACAAAACTCTGAGGAGAATCTTTGGTTTCAGCCTGAAAGATGTTTTTTTGGTTTTCATTGAGTGTTTTTTGTTTTTTTGGGTTTCATTCATCAAAAAAACAAAAACAACACAAGTCTTTTTTGGTTTTTGCTTTGGTCTATGCAACCTGGAATCACAAAAAAACAAGAAAACACAAGTGTGCCTACTTTATTGCGTATGGAGACTATTTTATATATTTCTATTTAGTTTAGTTTAATATTCTATTCATATGATTCATTTTAATCTCAGGTTAAGGCTGCGGTGGGGGCTGAGTATGCAATCTATTTTTTAGAATTTTATAATTTACAAACATATGTGAACTTTTTATAAAATATGTGTTTAATGTATATTCACAACCCTTATTTTTTACTAAGAAAACATGGTGCCCCAAGCATGCAATTTCTACTGTACATATCAGTGAACTATGACTTTGTTTTTTTTTCTTTTTTTTTTGGGGGGGGTACCATATATATATATATATATGGTACACCCTATATATATATATAGAGCCGCAATATAGCCATCCGTGCAAGCTGATCGAGGAAAATGACCATGGACAACCCATGGGATTACTCACCAAAACTAAACTATTGATTTTGATTTTGACCTTTTGTTGCCGCCCGTGCCTATCGATCATCATCCACCCACTTCATTGAGTGTGCTTTCCAAATTGAACTGTTTTGCCTGCCCATTTATTTGTTGTCCGTCTATCATGGACAATTTAGTCTCTTGCTTTCCTTGGCGGCGGAGGGGTTCTCCCACCCAACTCCCAGTAGGGACAAATAATGTTCCATTGACCTTGTTTGCGGAATTCTCCTTTGATGGCATTCCGAATCGCAACCACCAAATTGCACACATGGTGTGTCTGATTTTGCCAATCCAATCCGCTAGTATCCCACCTCCCGGTATTTGGGCCAGATGCCACATTGTCAGCATATCTACTGTATAGTCTAGTCTATAGACTACTTGAGTGACTTGAGTCCGGTGGAATGGACTGTTTTGGAATTGACTTGTCCGAGTTGTGCCAACCCTGTAGGCTTCTGCAGAGGGCCTTGGTACCGTGGATGTGCTCTTCGGCACCTACTACACGGCAACTACCTGAGTCACTCGCAGCACGCGTTGAGTCTGGACTTGATGGCAGACTTGACAGGTTGTTCCTGCAACAGTGAGCGGGTCCACGCAGGCTGTGGACATGTTTGTGCAGACACTGCGACAACTCATCATTGCAGATGGCTTTGATAGCCTTGATGCTCTTCAGCCCGCAGGTAGTTCATGTGATTCTAGCTGTTGATATTGACATGAAGCGCGTGCTGACCAGCTCGCAGCCAAGAGGGACCCATAATGCCAGGGTGGCTGAGAAAAAGTGTGCGCACCATGCGAATGCAGCGGCCTTGGTTGGCCATCATGACACTCGCCGAGGTGTCACGCTGCCAGTAACCCTCGTGAACATTCAGATCAACTCGTTAAATCACGAGCTCTATGGAGCAGGCGTCTTTGGCCTCGTTGGCGTTGGCATGACAAATGCAACCGGTTTTATTTGTTTTGCCTTTGCTGTAAAGAAGCTAAAATGCTTTGCGCACACACACACACACATATATATATATACACACAGTATATACATATTCATTCAGGTGCTGATTTGACTGGACAGTATGCCTACTACCACCTCTGCCAGAGCCTTAGAAAGGATTCTACATCCTGCCAAGCCCTTGCTATCGCCTTTGGCCAACTTGCACTGCCGAGGCACCTCAACTAATCTGACTCAGACGGTGAACGGCATTACAACCAGACAGATTTCCGTAGGCGCGGAAGACCTTGGAGCACCAAGTTACGAAAGAGGTTCAAGAGGTTATCGACAAGGTTCTAGAGCAGGTTTTCTCGAGGAGACTTTCGGACCACTTTCCCAAGACATATATAATTAACTATAAATGTCACCAGTGTTGCCAGAAACAAGACTATACAGATTGAATTTAGAATTGCTTGAAACGGAGCTGTGTCAGGTTGCACGTTGGCAGAGCTTGGGGAGCTGCCTACAGAGGCAAAGGGATGCGCAAGCCCAGTATGCGTTCTGAAAGACGTTTCTTCAAGCAAACGCTTGTTCTAAGTGTGACCCAGTGTCGACAATTCTCGATTTAGAGACACACTTGTAGGTCAACTACCTGTACTTGCAGTCGGCTGCAATCGACCACCAGAACAACTACGCAATTGTCCAAGACGGCCACACATCACGGTGGAAATTGGTCTCTTGAGTCTCTTGTATATTTGAGCATTGCCAGTGTGCTTGGGTCAGTGGCAGTGTATGTCGAGAATCTGGCAAGCCCTTCAGGCGTGGTTTACGTACAAGGAGGATGCGACAGGTCGTCCACGAATTCTGGAGTACCACCAAGATAGCCACGTGGTTAGATATGGGCACGCAGAATAGCGCAGATGCCTTGCTGGCTGGAATGTACAATAGCTCAGGTAAAGACTACGTGATTTGGCCACAGGAGTTTTCTTGTGGTATCCGGTCAGATTTTGGTATATACGTTATTGTTGAAGTGCAGAGTTAGTTGTGGTTGTTGCAGCTTGAAGAATGGGCCGCCATTTGGAGGACAGTTTGCCTGAGAATGCAGTTTTCTCATCGCTCATCCAAACAGCTCCTAGGACTGAAGCACACAAGGTGTATACTGCAGCATATTGCACTGGACGCTGGTCTTACGCCAGGATTTTCTTTGCCCTGTTTCCTCCAAGTCTGCTCTATGCAAGGCCACCGCAAAAGAGGAGAGTCTTCATCCTGCATATATATAGTTGAGACATGTTGAGACTGTATCAGGGCGCAGCCCAATGCCTTGTACTGTGTCGGCAATATTCTCTGTTCGTCGGGTTTCCTTTGACTCCAACTGGTATACAGGGCAGCTGTTGGGCGTCAGTTTGCGTGTCCAGCGCTGATTGGGAACCCACGGTCTAGAAACCGAGAAACCATTGCACAGGGAGGGAGGGTCGGAAAATACGCCCGCAGCGGCGAAGCTGCGGGAAGCTGTGAGAACGCTGCGAAGCTGTGGGATGCCTCGTATGAAAACGGTCAATTTCACTTTTAGGGCCACGCTAGTAGGAACAAGTGCCACGCTAGTAGTAACAGGTGCCTTACTAGTAGTAACAAAAAACTATTAGAAGCAAGTGCCTTACTACTAGTAACAATAAGAATTTATTCAGGGTTTAGGGCTTATACAGAATCTCCCAACCCCTGTGCGTAAGACTACTGCTCTCATCATCTCACATCACAAGACGCCCTTGTGCGAGATCCTTTCGCAAGACCCCCCCCACAGTGCCACGGCGCCACACCACGCCAACAGCGACAAAAGCCCTCTTGCAGCGCCAGAGCGCCATTCGCATGGGCCCTCCCCAAGCCATCAAACTTGAATCAATCTTGAAGACATGTTGCCAGTGCTGCAAGTCTGGAAGCCTTGAACTTGGAGCCTTGGACTGAAGCCATGCAACGATAGAGGAAACACTGCAGACTGATGACTGGGCACTTTGAAGCGAGGAAGAACTGGAATCGTCAAGCCACGCAGCACACAGAAAACACAGTTAACTGCCACTGTCTCAATGGGGCTAGTGGTTGTGAAGCACTTGTTGAGCAGCGAAATGCCGGAGCCGTGACACCAGAACAGGGACAACCTTCTCAGAAATCCTCTCAAGCTTAAGCTCGTCATGGCTCGCCTATGGCAGCATTGAAATTGGCACAGGCTTGAGGAACACACAGGTTTGGCCTGTTGCGGAACTCGAGTTTTGATCAGTTGCGCCCCAGCTCAAGCGGTTCTTTTGGAAAGTCTCCTCAGCATTTTCTTAATATATTGATGGTTTGCTCTTGCTTCAACTTCCCCAGCTGCACACGGTACACGTTTCGCTATGCATTTTTCTGATGTGCGAAGTTTCTTGTTGAGGGACCCACCCAAGGATCCCATCGGGAATGAGAGCACGATGCCACTATCAAACAGGAATGCAGGAATGCATGATGACTCGATGACGAACCATGACGAACCTCCTCAACATTGGCTTTGGGAAGACCTGGTCCTGTGATCTCTTCCCTTGTGTCAGAAGATCGGCCGGTGACGCCCCTCGTCCTCATTTCTTCATCACGTGCATTCAGCTTGCCGCTGCTCTTGCTGCTGGTCGTCCTGCTGCTCCTCCTGCTGCCGCTGCCGCTGCCGCTGCTGCTCTTGTTTTACTCAAGAAAACACCTTTTGTCACTATCGTTCACCCCCTACTCACTCAAGTGCTGTGTTTCTTATAGAGAGTTTGGAAGGTGCGTCCATGCGACTCACGGATGTACAATCCACGGTTGTAAGTAACGTGTGCTCACGGTTTATTTGAAGTCAGTGGTTTCTTTGACTTCCCGCATGCATGGTGCCCGATGTAGTGTATTGACTTTCAGGTTGGTGTGTGACCAGTCCTTTTCTTTGAATGACCTGCAGCCTTGTCCAACTCCTTTGGAACCTGAACAGATTGTCAAAAAGCAACGTTTAGTTGTGACCCCTGCAAGCCCTGAAATGAACAACGAAGAAAAAACTATCCCAGGTACTGTAAATGTTCCCATGCCACCTACCTTCTCTTTAGTGTTGAGACGCTCAGTGAATAGGGGCAGGGCAGGGTGCCAAGCGCCACAAACTGTTCCGTGCTGTGGGCTTTTCCACAAAATTGGGGCGCTGTGATGGGGGTGGTGGCCATAGGAGAATCAGGCAAGCAGCCTTTCAATTTGCGGTGAGGGTGCGGAGTGCCCAGCATGACTGTCTGCCTCTCTACTACAGAAACAATACGCGGATGCAGGGTCCTGAAATCTGATTATCGAATTCTAATCCATGCAGATTCTTCTTTTTCAATAGCATTGGCACATGGGTTTACGATATTTGCCTTTCCCGCCTTTGGGTTGCACTGCTGCGCACATGGGATTAGTTGAAAAGACTTGACGTGTTTCCCGTCCAAGCTTGGTTGGACCGATTTTGAGAAAAAGTGTTTCGCCACGCATGGTGCCAGATTCAATGCAGCTGGAACGAAGCTTTTCTTGTCCTTTGATGCAGCAACCCTCCGTGAGAAACTTAGATGAGTAGGAAAGACGATTCTCGAAACGTGGCCTGCTTCAGCCCGGGCGAAGCCGATTTGTGACAGTGTAGCGCTGCCTTGTGCATTGAGGTGGCGCAGCCCCAATTGATACAAACGCGGATGACATTCCTGACTCCTTCAATGAAGCTGACAAGGCTCACAGATGCTCACAGTCTGTCACGCACTGTGGGACGACATAGGCATCAAGATACCAACAAGATACAAGACAATTGATGTACACACACACGCATATATATATACACACATAGTAACGCATAGCAATGTCTGAGTAGAGGATCACTGGATAGGCTGAACGCTGGACATGAATCGAGAGAACTTGAGGGTGCTGCTGCAAGGCCACCCGGGCACCATGTGAGGACTTTATCGACCAATTCACCATGACGCTCATCCCGGGAAGCATGCCCTTCACCAAGCTTCAGGGGCTTACTGTATTTTTTTTGGTGTTCTGCGCTGTCACAACTAGACTTATCCTGGGCCAAAGCTTTCTGTTTTCCGGAGGTGCCAATGGACGAGCGACGCAGACTTTTACATTGAAATTGACCAGTCGCCGGGGGTCCAAGTGATATTTTCAGGTTTGCGTTTGTTTCACTTTGCTATTTCTTCTTTCTGTATAATAACCACCTGGTAGAATGCAACAGCCAGCAGTTCAGGTCAACCATTGCCCCAGGAGACTTGGCACGCCTCAAACCAGGAACTGCAGCTTCCCAAGGATGTCAACACACCTCGTCTAACCCATCAATGGCACACCCAATTCGCAAGGTTTACAGGGGTGAGCAGCTTCCATCTGGAGCTCGCGTCCCAGTCTTTTGTGCTAGTTTGAGAAGCCTCCGCTGGAGTTCGTGCATAAACAAATGCACACATACACACACACGCACACACACACACATATATATATATAGTATATATACATTTATCTATAATTTACAGTACACGTAGATTCATATGTCTCCTTTCCAGATTTTGAACTTTTGAGGCGTATCAATTTTCCCAGCCATCATCGGACTTCGCCATCGCTGCACTCCAAGCTGCTGGTAGAGTCGTGCAATCAACGAAGCAAAGAAGATGGCAGACAGTTTTTGATATATAGATCAAAAGAAGAGCCTGCATTTGGTTAAACCATCCAGCTTCTTGCCATGTTTTGTGCAGGTTGAGCCACCGCTGGAAATTCCAACCCCAGTCGTTTCTTGCTTACCATTGCATGCAACGGAAGACACAGAGTCAATTCCTGTCAGATCCGTGACTCCCTCATAATGGAGATATGCGTCATGTACTGCAATGTGCGAGGCTGAAATTGGTGGCATGCGCTACATTGACGTGTTTGTATCCAAGACCAGCACTGCACAACTTGACGATCTAGTTTCAAGGGTTGCAGCAACACCAGGGAACATAACATGCTGGTACTGCTAGGGCCGATTTTGTATCCACATTTGGTTGGTTCAGCTAGACTGGCGGTGAGGAGCAGCTCCCCTGCTGAGGTGTACAGACCTGACCCTGGATGGCACGCAGTCGCGCAATCACGGTGAGCACCTTTTGCGACACTTTTCCGTTGTGCATGTGTGGGTCTTCACATGTTTTCACATGGAACCTGGAATGCTTGGTGAACGTGAGGTTATCGGGGTACCTTTACGTGGGCACTGAGCTCGACAAACCCGGTGAAGCAGCCCGCCTGAGCTTTCTCAGTTTTTGAGATCAGCGGCACGGGATTGTAGCATGTTGTAAGCGTATGTGATGCAACGTAGTAATTCAGATCGCTGTGGCATCGAGGCCAGAGCCCCACATCCGCCAGCTGCAGAAGGTGATTGATGATGAAATGTTGGCAGCCCTTCCAGCCGAGCTCTTGGAGCTTTTGGATTGCCTTCAACAGGGAGAATGTTGGAGCTGTTGGAGCTTCGAGTGCAACGAACTTACTTTACAGTATGTCCTGTAGACCGATGCTTAAGGCAAAACTAGAGGTATGTCATATGCACTCTGGTTGAGATTGATTGCAGTTTCTCACGTGGTTGTGGCACATTCAGCACTTGACGAGTAAATTGATGACAAAAAAGGCAGTCCCTCAACCCCAAGCAAGGAGACAGTGAAGCATAGTCAGTTATATACTTGAAGTTGCTGGTGCTTCCTGCTTTGCCAGGTTGCAGCTCAAGTCTTGAGAATCCCGCAGTTTTTGATGCAAGCAGAGACGCTGTGCCCCGCCTCTTGAATGATCAATCTCTCTCTCTCTCTCCCCCCTTATTTATACACACTTCCACAGCCTTGAGCGCCTTGGAGGTACAACTTCTCATTGACCGCAGCAGCCTCAGAAGTCTAGGTCCTTATGTGCATGGGACAACTTCCGCCATGCCAGGTGCAGTCTTACTGGAACCCCTCTTTGACTGACACCGCCTACTTTAGACACGCCCTTATTGCACAGCCGAATTCCTTGCATTCAAGGTGTGCAATAAACAAAAGGCATTCCCAAAGAAGCAAATCATCATTGCCAAGGTGTCATGGTTTCATCTGCCCCAGTTCCACCAATGGCTAAAGCCTTACAAACGTGAAGGCCGTGAAGGACGTTTTCTTAAACAGCACAAGTGGCACCAGTTGCTTTTCATTGGAGGGTGGTGACGGTGGCAAAGCTTTTTGAAGCTGCACTGTAAGGAAATCTTTGGCTCGTACTCTCGAGAGATCAAGGCATGTTTTGACATGTAAAAACGCTGGATTTCATATGATTTCATGCGACAAATAATTTCTGCAGTCAAGCTGTGTCTACTGCAGGTGGAAAATCCATTCAGCCTTGTGTCTGAGATTGTCATGCAGGGGTGGGGCTCTGAGATTGACCATAGCAGCCAGTATGTACTAGGATTCTTTACTGGGAACAGGCTGGAGAGTTTGCCCCTATCCACGACACCACGAGGTGTTCAGAAAACTTGGGCAATGGCAGCGTGGGCTACCGCTGGACAGTATGCAAAAGGCCTGTGCCACTTCACATGTTTCATCAACTCCACTTGAAGTTATGCAAAACACTTGAAAAGGTAGGTGTTGTCAGCTGACTACTTAGGACCGAGGCCGTGTTGGTGTGATGGGCCCAGGTTGCTGACATGCAACATGACTCCAAACTAAACTGATGAACACTGCCGCAGCTGGAAATCCCCCAAGGCAGGGAAGCATTCTGGGCTGCAACTATACGTTTGCTCCTCTGGGATTGTTTTGAGCATGTTGTGTTGACGATGGCTTCCTGGATGCTAAGGTTTGGAAGTGGAATCGATCAGTCGAAATTCTCTGGAGTGCAGTCGCGGTCATTATATGCCAGCACCTCTGAGGTTGATCTCTGTGAGTAGTTCTGCAATGTTCTGCTGCGCCCCGCAAAGGTGCAACCTTTTGCTTTAGAACCACTCGACACCTACATCTTCACGGTCTTCGGCCAGGCATGCCCGCGCTCAGAGAAGAGTGCCAATTGTTTTTGTGGCTGGTGAGGTAATATCTCCCTTAAAAAATGGTTTGATGAGCACAACTTGAATGTAAGGCACAATATATATATATAATATGTATATATGTATATCTGTATATAAACGTAGAGGGCTTCAGCAGCAAGGAAGACAACACACTGCGCGCACACACAGAAAAGATCAGAAACAAATATTTTCCACATGCACACACTCACAGGGTCGGCTGAAAGGAAGTCCACATCCCAGCCACCACCAATCCACTCTTGCAGTGCGTTAATACGCTTCTCCGCTTCTCCAAGGATCCTTTTTCAACGAAATAAGATTTCGTTTCCGTGGCTTCCTTGTCAATCTAAAGTCTCCAGTCTCGAAGATTCAAGCTTTGAAGCGAGGCGAGAGCCTTGAAGCGTCAATCTTGCAGAAAGCCTGCGAACTTTTGGCTTTTGGCCCTTCCTTTGTTGCTTTTGTTAATTCTTTACTTTGTTATGTTGCATTCATCCCGTTTCTTTTTGGTGCTTTATTAATGCTTGATGTTAGTGGGCTCAAAGGTGAAGAACTCTTTCTCAACGTTGCTGTTTGTGTGGATGTTGAGATCAGTGAGCCGCATTGACACGGAACACCCACTCACACAGACATAACAAGAGAACAGAACCGACCCGAGCATGAATCAGAGAGCGAGAGAGAGAGAGAGAGAGAGACAGAGAGAAAGATAGAAAGAGAGAAAGAGAAAAAGAGAGAAAGAGAGAAAGAGAGAAAGAGAGAAAGAGAGAAAGAGA